TTAAGGTTCATACAATATGGTCTGGGATTGGGGAAAATTATGATGTTTTGATCAGTAAAATGTTTGGATTAATAATCAAAGGATTAGAATATCCTTAATGAATCAATACACAAAAGGAATTTATTAAGGGTTTTTGAACAATTTCATAAAAAAATCTTAACATTTAAAAAGTTAGGACATCCTAATTTTTATTTTTTCATATGATTTAAGGTTTTAAGATCAGTAAAAATTTAGAATTTTAGGATTTTTAATTAAAAAAAAAAAGGACTTATAACTTTGATTGATCCAGTCCTAGCATAGCATTACTCTTGTTTACCTTTTTAATTTTTTTTATAGGAGCAAAAATGGTTGAAATTGTTTTTTTTTTTTTTTAAAGGGCTATTCATCCAATGGTTTATGGTGATTATCCCAAAATAATGAGAGAGATTGTAGGGCACCGACTCCCCAATTTCACAAAAGAACAGTCTGAAATGATTAAAGGGTCATTTAATTTCCTTGGAGTGAACTACTATACTACAGAGTACGCCGAAGACTCTGGATACGATACTGGTGCCAACTTGAGCTACACCACAGATAGTCACGTCAACACTTCTAGTAAGCTTCAACAACTTGACACTTAATAATTTTGTAAATTATAATGAGCATGCATTGCAATATGTTCCTAAATCATTAATTTGATTTTCATTTTACCATGACAGCGGAGAAAAATGGAATTCCAATTTGCGAATCGGTGCGCACCGTCTTTAGCTACTTTTCTCATGAGCTCTCAAATTGAATTAATACTTTACACCATTGGCAGAGTTAGGGGGTCCTTATTATCTCGGGTTCCCCTAAGCTTTTAAAAAATTATTATGGTTTAACAATTTTTTTAAATCATTTTTATCTTTAAATTTTTATTTATTTTACATGATTCTAATCTATGTTTTATTGAATTTTCATTGTGCCCCCTTAAATTTTTTTTTTTTAACTCCACTACCACTTTAAATCAAATTATTCTACTAATAAAAATAATTTTCTAGACGAGTGTTAGTTGGCTACACATTTGTCCATGGGGACTTCGAGATATTTTGCTATATATAAAAGGAAGATACAAAAGTCCAACTATCATTATAACGGAGAACGGTAAGTTTTTTTTGTATCCAATTTCTAACTTCTTTCTTTTAAATTGTGAGAAGCTTGAGATAAATATATAAACTTGATCATTTACAGGAATGGGTTATCTTGTCAACTCCTCGTCAACAATGAGTGATTTTATCAACGATAACTTGAGAATAAAATATCACAGTGTCCATCTATCATATTTATCCAAAACAATCAAGTCAGTAGCTAGCTAGTTTCCTAGAATATTTTTCACATTTTGAATGCACGTTTCTAAATGTCTTATTTTTTGCTTAAGATATGAGTAACTACTTTTGCAGGGAAGGAGTTGATGTGAGGGGTTACTTCATTTGGTCATTTCTTGATAACTTTGAATGGGGTGAGGGTTATACTATCCGATATGGCATCACCTATGTTGACTACGTTAATGGGTTGCAAAGATATTTCAAGAATTCTGCTTTGTGGTTCCATAATTTCCTTAAAAAAGAAAACATAGCTAGTGCTACTAACTCGTCTCTATTGTGTTATGAGTGATTATGTTGAATGATCATCACCAACACTCTAGAAGCAAGGAGATATTTTGCAGAAGTTAGAAAAACCAAGAAAAAAAAGATTAATCTAAAATAATGAGTACAATTTAAGAATAATGTCGATGTATAGAATTGTGCAAGTTGATGTATTTTCTTTGAATGTTATTTTGTGACTTGTTCTGTGTAGGAGTACCATTTGTAGAATTGTGTGTGATGGAGTATTTTAGTAAAAAATATTTATCATGCCTCTTTTAAAAGATCTCCGTTGAATCTCACAATATCTCACTTGCAATATGTCAATGACATGGTCCTCTTAAGGGAAGCATCCTAAGAGGTCATCTGGGCCTTTAACTGTATCTTCAGGTGGTTATAATTGACATCAAGCCTTAGGATTAATTTCTAGGGCTGGGTGTTGGGTGGTTTCGGTTGTAACCGCAACTGACTTAACAGTTAACCACATAATTGGTTTTTAAAATATAATAACCGTTAACCGCATTAAATTATTATGGTTTTTTAATATTCGATTATTTTTATTTTATAATTCTTGGTGTTGGTTACGGTTTTAATCGACTTAATACTTAGCATTTTTAGCCTTGTTTACAAATTTCAATAGCAAAATTCCTTACTGAAATCAATCTCATGTTACAAACTTAAATTTGATGCTCAAAACAAATCCAAGCTAAAAACTACTTACACTTGAATTTACTGATTGATGATCTTCACTATTAATCTCCATGTGAAGATAATCATACTGCATTTTAGATAAAAAAATGAAGTTAACACAAGTAAATATTATCATCAAAACAAATAAATTCATCTTAGGGTTAAGGTTTTCTAACAATCAACGAAGATTTAGTTAAAAAATAAGGGATCGAAATTTAAAATAAAAAATTTCTAAAAATATTTTAGATTTAATTAAAAAGAGAAGGGATTTATACCTTTGATTTTGTACAAGTTGTTAATTGAAAGGAGTGGGTGACAGAATTTATGAAGAGAAAGGGACAACAGGGATCAAGTTGACCATTTCGATGGCAACCACAAAATG